AGTGAAGGCTACAGAGGGACCACAGAATTGGGGACTGTCTAAGATAGGAGATCCTGTCAATTATTAGCCTATGGCCCTAAGATGTCTGCTCTGTAGGGTCAGAAGAGATGAATATTAGAAGAGTAGCTCAAATACAAAAATAACTTGTAAAAATCAGTAAGAAAACCACCAAAGCCCCAGTAGAACATAGGCAAGAGATGTGGACAATTTCAGAGGAATTACATATGTCTAATATATCAGTAAGAAAATGTTTCTCCTGGGACCAGCAGATGACGTAATGGTTACATTGCTGGACTCCCATGTAGTTGACCGTAGTTCGAGTCCCAGACCCGGCAGCTTAAAACCCATGCTGGGTGAGTGTGTGCATGCCCAAAATCCTGAGAGGAAAATGGAGAAGGGAATGTGGCATGGCCATCCCCTCTGGTGGGTGATTTTTTGCTTTCTGTCTCTCTGTTTCTCTGGCAAGTGCACATACTTTATAGCAAAAATCTCTCACAACCACCCCTCCACCAAAAAAACAAAAAACAAAAAACAAAAAAAAAAAACCCAGGTAATTTTATTTTCATGTGAATGCTTTTGGTATTTAAAAAAAAATGACATATACAAAATATGTACAAAGTCTCTTCTCCATTCTCCTCCTGGAACCCTGGGCATGCACATGTGCCTGGTGTGAGTTTCAAGCTACTGGATCTGAGACTTGAACTGCAGTCTACCACATGGGAGTCTAATGGCTTAACTACTATGCCACCTGCTGGCCCCAGAACACTTTTCTTTTTTAATTTTTTAAAATTTTATTTATTTTTCCTGTGTGTATGTGAGAGAGAGAGAGAGAGCGCGAGCGAGAGAGAGCACGAGAGACTCCTCTAATAGCATCTTCATGCTGCTATCCACCCCCAGCCTTAGCAGCCCAGATCATGGGCTTGCACATGTGTGCCTTACATGCTTAGGGAGGTCCCAGTACATAAATCTAGGACCTTTCTCATGTGGATCTAGTTGTGTTACTGTTATGCTATCACCTGGTTCCTGCATCATGAAGTTTTTTTCTTTGACAGAGAGCATGTGTACTTACCAGAGAAAGAGAGGAGAAAAAAAAAAAAAACACCCCACATAGAGAATGGTCAAGCTGTAATCCCTTCTTCTGCATCTCTCCCTCCCTTGGGATTTTGGACACATTTGTACCTGTGCCTCGCATGTTTCCCAAGTTGCCGGGTCCAGGACCTGAACTGTGTGGTCAGCCATGTGGGATCCGGCCACTTCAACACCTATGCTCCTCCTGGGACCAGCAGATGACGTAATGGTTACATTGCTGGACTCCCATGTAGTTGACCGTAGTTCGAGTCCCAGACCCGGCAGCTTAAAACCCATGCTGGGTGAGTGTGTGCATGCCCAAAATCCTGAGAGGAAAATGGAGAAGGGAATGTGGCATGGCCATCCCCTCTGGTGGGTGATTTTTTGCTTTCTGTCTCTCTGTTTCTCTGGCAAGTGCACATACTTTATAGCAAAAATCTCTCACAACCACCCCTCCACCAAAAAAACAAAAAACAAAAAACAAAAAAAAAAAACCCAGGTAATTTTATTTTCATGTGAATGCTTTTGGTATTTAAAAAAAAATGACATATACAAAATATGTACAAAGTCTCTTCTCCATTCTCCTCCTGGAACCCTGGGCATGCACATGTGCCTGGTGTGAGTTTCAAGCTACTGGATCTGAGACTTGAACTGCAGTCTACCACATGGGAGTCTAATGGCTTAACTACTATGCCACCTGCTGGCCCCAGAACACTTTTCTTTTTTAATTTTTTAAAATTTTATTTATTTTTCCTGTGTGTATGTGAGAGAGAGAGAGAGAGCGCGAGCGAGAGAGAGCACGAGAGACTCCTCTAATAGCATCTTCATGCTGCTATCCACCCCCAGCCTTAGCAGCCCAGATCATGGGCTTGCACATGTGTGCCTTACATGCTTAGGGAGGTCCCAGTACATAAATCTAGGACCTTTCTCATGTGGATCTAGTTGTGTTACTGTTATGCTATCACCTGGTTCCTGCATCATGAAGTTTTTTTCTTTGACAGAGAGCATGTGTACTTACCAGAGAAAGAGAGGAGAAAAAAAAAAAAAACACCCCACATAGAGAATGGTCAAGCTGTAATCCCTTCTTCTGCATCTCTCCCTCCCTTGGGAGTGTGGACACATTTGTACCTGTGCCTCGCATGTTTCCCAAGTTGCCGGGTCCAGGACCTGAACTGTGTGGTCAGCCATGTGGGATCCGGCCACTTCAACCACTAAGCTACAGAGCCAACCTCGTGATTTTTAATATAAAAAGACACATGTGTTTAAAGAAGGAGTATAAGGAAAGCAGTGAAAATAATATATTTGAAGTAGTGGGATTGTGGCTGAATATTTTCTTTTATCTCATTAAAGTAATGTTTCTGTTAAGAACACCATTCAATGTCTATAAGCCTACAATGCTGAGGACTAGGCCTGAACATGTAAAAACCCCTTTTGCTTTTTCTGGTCAAGGTGGACCCCATGTATTCCAGAGTACTTTGGCTGCGTGTGCATCTAACTTGACCTGAGGCCCCATGGACCATTGCCAGCCAGGGGCTGATTTAGCATTGTACTAAGACAATTATAGACCAGGCCCCCTCACCTGGTGGGCTTCTACGAAGTTCCCCCGGAGAATGCAGGATGCTAGCAGTGACTCAGGTGGGGAGAACATCATGGGGATGAGTGAACTTTGAGGGTGGGGCTGCAGCCGGCCATTCTGCTCATTCTGCCCAGATACAGCACTCAGACTTCCCTCTGTTGGGACATAAAAGTATGAGGACCAGGGAAGCATAGCAACTGAGGAAAACCATGCTGTTGCCACCTCCCACTAAACCCTTGTCTCCTCAAGGTCCTGCTAAAAGGTCTGTAAATGGGTATTGAGTTTTCCTTGAATGGAGGGCAAACCTATGCTATCTTCAAAAACAAGGCTCAAGTACAACTACCTTCCTTGGGCATTAAAATCTGTTTCTCTCTGCTGATGGGTAACTCAATTGAGATTGAAACAGCCCTTTTCCCCCTTCCCATTTACAATCTGTCTGGTATGCACAGAACCAACCTTCTACGACACAGGCATGATGGGCTCTGCCCTGGTTTTATACCCTCAAGGGGTCTTCAACAAGTGTGTGGAAAATGTGTATTATGAAAACCCATACACCAAAACAAACTCAAACTTTAATTTTTCTGTAAACTTTTTGAAGTCCCCTCATATATGTATCTCAAAGAATAGCTGCTTGAAATTGGCAAGGTTGAGACCTACATACCTGAAGTACTTGTGCTCAGCTCACTACTTGTACTTTCTTGGGATGGGTTGGAACCTCTGTCCCGGCCATCTAGAGGTATTAGGGAGAAGACAGAAAAATCAGTCATTGATTCCTTCTACTGTAGAAAATGCAAGGTCAACTTGAAAAACAAGATCTGGGTAGACTGAGGGGATGATGGGCAACGACTCCACCTGCTGCTGCTTCTGCAGTAAAACTCATCTCCTATAGATCAAAGGCAATGGCTAGGCTTACTATGGTGCAGCACTCACTTGGGTAGTAGCCAGCCTGTGGGTCTCAGAGACCCAGGAGCTTTCAAGTTACTTCTTGAGATCAGAGATCAGTGACCACCATCTCCTCATACTAGGCACTGGCAATATTCTGAAAATAATGAGTGAATGAAAGAATGAATGAATGTGTAACTACAATGACCAGGAAACAGTAAGGTGAAAATCAGAGTCATAACCTTTTCTGACAGAAAAAGGTGTGCTCATACCTGAAAAGTTAAAAAACCAAAGTATAAGACCTAGCTTGCCAAAACCCATGATATTTGATGTTCTGGAGGAAAAGCTTCTTAACACCAGCTTTTCTGAAGTGCTAGGGCTTGGAATGGAGGTTTGCTATTCCTTAGCGTGGTCATTGGAGGGCTATGTCAGTTCCATGGAAGGGAGTCTCCCTGGCTTATTGCATGAGTGGCCCTTTATTTCTTTTCTTTTATTCTTTTAAAATAAATTTTATAACATGATGTTATAAGACACGTTTATATATGTATGTATGTGTATATACACACACACCACACACACATATGTGGTAAAATGGTTACTATAGTATAACTAACATAGCCATAATCTCTTATTACCTATTTTCCCCTCTGCAGAAAGAGCAGCTACAATCTACTCATTTAGCAAAAATCCTGACTATGACACACTACTACCAAATAGAATCCTATGTTGTACATTAGATCTTTGGACTTACTTATCCTACCTGCCTGCTACTTTTATTCCTTGACCTACATTTCCCCATTTCCCCCCCTTCACCCTGATTCTGGTAACAAGTGTTTTATTTTCTCTCTCTCTCTATTTGACCTGGACTGCCCTTTGGAGGGAACAGATGGCCTAATAGAGTGGCTTATGCATTCTTGGGCTGGATGGATCAAGCAGATAGAAACTCTGCCTTCTGACCCAAACCAACTAACTTAACAGTTTAAGGGCCTTGAGATGTTTCTAGATTTCTACCATGGCATCCCCCTCCCTACTCAATACTCCTGTTCTTGCTGCCACTTGCCAGAGCCACTCATTCTTCAGAGTTCAGTTCAAGAGTCAACCATTTCATAAAATCTGTTTTCCTGATTTTGCAGGCCAATAAATAGAGATTTATTTTCAGGCAGGGATTTGGTTCAGTTTAGGTTTTTCACGTACGTTACTGTCCATGCAGGTAAATTATAAACTCCTTGAAGGCAAAGGCCTGGTTTATGCCTTATTCACCTCACTAAAGATACCTCATATTATTTAGCACATGGGAAATACTTATGAATTCCTTATAAATTATTTAAAACATAAGCACCAAAAGCTACAAGGAACATTTGATTATGTAAAAATTTAATATTCTAGGATAATGCTTCTATATTAAACTTCTCTATGAAAAGTCCACAGAGTTGAGACCAGCAGGTGGCATGGTGGTTAAAGGCATTGGATTCCCACATGGCCAACCATGGTTCGAGTCCTGGACCTGGCAGCTTGCTTTCTCACTTTCCCTTTTTCTCTTTCTCTTTGTCACTCTCTGTTCAAATTAAAAAAATAATAAGAACACATGGAATTAAATAAATAAGAATTCTTTTTATGGGGAGAGGTTTTTGCTATAGGGCGTGTGCGCTCGCCAGAGAGAGACAGAGAGACAGAAAGTGAGAAATCACCCCCCAGGGGGGTGGCCATGCCACAATCCCTTCTCCTCCATTCTCCTCTCGGGATCTTGAGCACGCACGCACATGTGCCTGGCGTGAGTTTTAAGCCGCCAGGTCTGGGATGTGAACTGCGGTTGACTACGTGGGAGTCCAGCGACATAGCCATTATGCTAACTGCTGGTCCCCAATAAATAAAAATTCTTTAAAAAAAAAAAAAAAGAAAGAAAAGAAAATTCCACAGAGTTAAAGGACGAATAGAGAAAAAATTATATACACATTGACAAAATGTTTTCCTTAATGTAAATGGTGAAACAATTCAACAAGAAACAGAAACCTAATAGAAGACCTTAGACATGATTTAAGGAGCTCTTAGAAAATATTAATAGTCAATAAATATGTGAAAAAATCTTCAATCTCAAACTAAAAAAAATTGACATTAAAGTAATAATATATCATTATATTAATTATATTGGCAAAGATTTAAAAAAGTTTGACATTACTTGTTGGGTGTATGTGTAAATAAATAGGTGATCACATACAACTGGTAGAAATATATTCTCTCTCTTTTAGGCAATTTGGTAGTATCTATCTATTATCTATATCCATATACCTTTGACTTACCCTACTGCTATGAACTTATTCTATATTCACATAGTATGCACAGACACATACGAAGTTGTTTACTGTGGTATTGTTTATATTAATAATTGTAAAAAAAAATTGCATATAACAATAGACAGCTCAGGGTAAATATATCATTGGGATACTAAGTGGCCTCTAAAATGATAAGCTGAATGAACTTCTCAATATGTACTATATTTGTATATATAGAATAAGTGAAAAAAGCAAGTTGTTCTCATTACAAAGAATCTTCCAAAAGTTCATAGAAAATGTGCATTATCAGGTCTAGCAGGTAGTGTGATGGTTAAGGGCACTGGACTCCCACATGGCCAACGGTGGTTTGAGTCCTGGACCTAGTGGCTTGCTTTCTCACTTGCCCTCTCTCTCTCTCTCTCTTTGGTCAAAATAAAATGGAAGAATAGATATAATACAGTTAAATGAAAATAATTCTTAAAAAAAAAGAAAAAAGAAAAACATATATTATGAAAAAACTATGGGGCAGCAGATAAAATGATCTCACATGGAAATGATTTGAATCTCTAGTTCTCAGTTTTCCAGTCAGTCTGAAATATGCTGGGCATGTGCATAAGAGCCCGGGACCTGACTGGCTGGAGGATCAGAGCAGGGATGGAGGTGCGACCAGACCTAGTGGAGAGTGCTAGTCTCTCTCTCTCTCACTCTCATGCATAGGCATTCACTTGATCATACATAAAGAAAAGAAAAGAAAAGAGACAACTATGCATGGATTTCGAATTTTTTTAACACCAAAATAAACTCATACTGGGCCAGCCGGTGCCTTGGTGGTTAATGTGGCTAGATCCCACATGGCCAACTGTGTGGTTCAAGTCCCAGACCCAGCAGTGTGAAAAACATGCCAGATGTGTGTGTGTGTGTGCCTAAAATCCCAAGAGGAGAATGGAAAAGGGATGACGCACGGCCGTCCCCCTGGGGGATGATTTCTCATTTTTCTCCTTCTCTGTTTCCCTCCAGAAAGCGTATCTGCTTTACAGCAAACTAAAAAACAAAAACCTCATAGTTAAATTTCATTTTTCCATGAAGTTTTGAAGCCCCCTTGTATTTAGTATGATGTGTCTGTATATGTAGAATACACATTTTGTATTGCATGGAAGATTTCTGGAAGGATATATCAGAAAATATCAACAAGGGTTACCTTGGGGGAATGGGATTTGGATAATCTTAGAACACTTCCTCTTGACCATGTGCTCTGCCTTAAATAATATTAGACAAATGGCAACCTACCATTTGCTTAGTGTATAGGAATCAAGCACTCAGATTACCTGCCCGGTTCCTTCTTGTCCGACGACCCCGGCGGAGACTGGGGTGCCGTGCACCAATGGGCCGGTATCTTCGGGAAGGTTGTTCCTCTGAAACAGCAAACCAATGGGACATACAGGCCAGTGATCAACTTTGATATGACCCATCCTCTTGGGATAATAGGTAGGGGAAGATTAGCTCTGGGCTCTGAGATGGAGCAAAACTCCAGGGTTCTCACACTGGTTGCTATGGTGATATGCACTGATTTATGTACTTCTTGCTCTCTCCCGCGTACCCAGGATCTTTTCTTTTCCCAACTTCTGTACTCACCCATCTGCCCCTTCCTCTCACCTGAACTCTGGTTGCTTGTTACCACCTTGTACCTCCACTGGGTCTCTGAGAGAACCTTGGAAAACCGGTGCAGTCGGCTCTGCAATCCATCTCTGCTTCCGGGGCAGCCCTGGCCTTCTGGCAGCTTTGGCATCTCAGGGGGAATGTGGCTGCTGATCTTATCAAGTTGCTCTTGAAGAAGCCTGAGGAAGGCCCCTATTGCAAATTCATCAGCCAGGAATCCACGGATACCACTAGTAAAGTGCTTCAGGTCCAGAAAGCTGTGTCTAGGAGGCTGTTGGTAACTGCCTTTTGGCTCTGCCTTCAGACCACTAGGTACGGTAGAAGCCAGGCTCTTGGGCACTCCCAGAGAACCCCGCTCTGATTTCCTCTCAGGCTGTGCTATGTGCTGAGGGCTCTCTGACGGGGACCTCACACCAAAACGACCCTTCCCTTCAGTGTCATCATCCTCAGCATAGTCCTCGGGCAGGTGAGGTTCTGGGTGAAGATCGGCAGAAGTGATGAGAAGCAATGAGAAGATGTTTTCTAGAAGTTCCAGGCACAAAGAGTCAGGAATACTGCACAAATACTGCTGACACCGGGCCAGGTAAGTTGAGAAGAGATCTGAAGCACCTAGGGAAGCCAGAGAAAGCGAAAGAAACCTTACATGCCAGACTCAGGTGGTCTTACAACTTCAACTTACTCATCGTTTAGTCATTGAGGGAACTGGAATTATAGTCAGAAGAATAAGGAGGACTGCTTAACACGCCTCTTCATAATTTGCAGAGTATTTTAACTAAAACATTATTTCAATTATTTTAATTTGTCAGAGGGTACATGTGTTTGCCAGAGACAGAGAGAGAAGTAGGAGGAGGAGGAAGCACTCCCCAATGAGGTGTGGTTATGCTGTAATCCCTTCTCCATCCTGTCAGAATTTTGGGCATGTATGCACACATGCCTGGTATGTTTTTGAAATCACTGGGCCAGGATCTAAATTGGACTCAGCCACATGGGATCTGGCTCCTTTAACTACTAGGCTATAGGGCTGTCTCTGCTTCTGCTTTTTAAATACCAAATTACTCCTCATCTCTGATATGTTCTCCATTGTTTAGTTCCAGAAAGGAAGCAGTATGAAGATTCTTCATTCCACAGTTCCATTTTCACTTATTGTTAGACTAAAGGTGACCACATGCTACCTAAACCTGGTAGGAGATACTCCACAGTCAAAATGATCATGCTGAGAGGTGAAGATTTAGTCCAAAACTAAAAGAGAAATATAACTGGCCACTAGTCACAGAATACCAATTAAAAAATTGTAAGTCATTAAAAAAAAAATGAGAGACCAGCAGTTAGTGTAATGGCTATGTCGCTGAACTCCCATGTAGCCAACCATGGTTTGAGTCCTGGACCCGGTGGCTTAAACTCACGCTGGGCGCGTGTGCATGAGTGCCCAAGATCCCGAGAGGAGAATGGAGGAGAAGGGACTGTGGTGTTGCCATCCCCCCTGGGGGGGGGGGGATTCTCGCTTTCTATCTCTCTGTCTCTTTCTGGTGAGTACATGTACCCTCTAGCAAAAACCTCTCAAAAAAAAAAAAAAAAGAGGATAAGATATTAGGTTGATATTTTTTTCATTGTAGGTTCTGACCAATAAAGTCAACTTAAGAGAACTGAGTTTAAAAAATAAAATAGAGGGACCAGCAGTTAGTGTAATGGCTATGTCGCTGGACTCCCATGTAGTCGACCGCGGTTCGAGTCCCGGACCCGGTGGCTTAAAATTCACGTTGGGCGCGCATGTGCATAATTGCCCAAGATCTCAAGAGGAGAAAGGAGAAGAGATGGTGGTGTGGCCATCCCTTCGGGGGGTGATTTCTCCCTCTCTCTCTGTCTGTCTTTCTCTATCTGGCGAGCACACGGGCCCTATAGCAAACCCCCCCCCCAAAAAAAAAAATAAAAAAACCCCAGATAATTAAGTGTGTACTCCATTTAGAAATGTCCTGTTTCTTAAAACTTAGTTTCATTTCATATACATACACACACATATAAACACACAAATTATATAACTAGGTACAAATTGCAATGTGATAGGGAATACTATTGTTACTATGGATTGCAGTAAAGAAAAAAAGAAATCACTTTGAAAAAAAGGAGGGGGCCAGCAGGTGGTGTAGTGGTGAAGGCAGCTGGACTCCCACATGGCTGACCGCAGGCCCTATAGCAAACCCCCCCCCCAAAAAAAAAAATAAAAAAACCCCAGATAATTAAGTGTGTACTCCATTTAGAAATGTCCTGTTTCTTAAAACTTAGTTTCATTTCATATACATACACACACATATAAACACACAAATTATATAACTAGGTACAAATTGCAATGTGATAGGGAATACTATTGTTACTATGGATTGCAGTAAAGAAAAAAAGAAATCACTTTGAAAAAAAGGAGGGGGCCAGCAGGTGGTGTAGTGGTGAAGGCAGCTGGACTCCCACATGGCTGACCGCAGTTCGAGTTCTGGACCTGGCAGCTTGCTTTCTCATTTTCCTTCTCTCTTTCTGTCTCTCTCTGGTCAACTTCAATAAAATAAAATAATGACAATGAATAAAATTAATAAAAGAATTCTTTAAAAAACCAACCAAACAAACAAACAAACCACTCCAATAGGTGAACAGAAAACAGGCAAATGATTTTGTTCTCTCATGTCCCTTTGATTCATGGAGGTTGATAATGGATGAAATTATTCCTGGGTACCATAAATTAAGTCTACCAACCTACCCCTGATCCTGGTGAAGGGGTAGCTACACAAAGCATTTGCTGTGTAGGTTGTCGCCAGCTCAAGCCAGGGGTGGGGAGGAGCGCTGTACCTGGGGAGGAGGGAGAGTCATCTGCTGGATCTGCAGCCAAGGCCAGGTCCTCGGAGGGGCTGTTTCTGCAGTCCTGGCACTGGGAGTGCTGGTGCGAGTTCACGCACAGGGCGTAGATAGCGTACTTCATGGCACAGAAGCCCTGGTAGAGTGTTGGGTTCTGACATTGGCTTAGATGCTCAGGGCCTGGGGCATCGGCTGGGTCTGAACAGTACAGAGACACGGGCAGATCTCAGAGTTAATTTTTTTCAGGCATGAGCAGCAAATAAGGTGGAAGCAAAGAGATGTCATACTTGCAGGCACGCATTCAGGTTCTCACCCTCTCCCTTCCTGTCAGTTTGATCTATATCCCTTCTAGGCCTTTCCTCTAGTCAACACCTACTTCCAGTCTCCTCCATTTCCTTTTCCCCACCGACCTCCTTTCTATACTTCTCATGACCTGTATAAAGCATTACCACACAGAGCCAAGACTTGTAAGCACCAAAATGCAAATGCCTCCTTAAATTTTGTACCCTGGGTGTGTCTCTTGCCTCACCCTACTCCTAGACTTATTATTGCCCCCTTTTTGCCTTTTCCAAGTTCAGCTTTCAAGTGTGTCCCAGGAGGTCCCCAGGGACCAGATTTAAACTACGTCTTGGGAAGGCTTCTGTACTTGTATATGGAAGCCAGAGTTCCTGTTCCTTTAGGAAATCTGTTTAGCAAGTTGTCTATCTTTCCAGAAAAAAAAAATTTGGAATGTAGTAATACTGGTTTTCCAGTTAGTGAAAGGTCCTTTTGCAAAGGAAATCAAAACAACATCCTGGCTGGGAAACACCTACTGCCATATGAGAAAGTTCGTTTCTCTTAAAGAGAAGGGGCCCTGGCCTGTGTGGCAGGTTGTGACTATATGACATGATTTTTAAGAGTGAAAGAGCTCCAGTTACAATGTATATATAGATAAAAATATCATACTGTATTCCATAAATACACACAATTCTTATTTCTCGATTAAAAATGAATAAAAAGCTCTTTCATGGGGTCTTGAATTTAGGCAAAGGTTAAAACATGACTGTTATTATTTCAGGCAAAACATTCTTCTAAACCGCTTGACAGTTCAATGGAGTATGAAGGCATGGAGGGATGGAAACCAGAAACTGTACTATGAGAAAATGTATGAGGCATGAAGTGACTCACGGAGAATTTTCCCAAATAGTGCCAGTGAAAATGCCGTGAATACAGAGGATAGTTCCTAATTCTGTTTCTCTGGAATGAAGGTTTGCTAGTAGTTTCTGAGATGGTTCCACAAAGACAAAGAATGTGGTACTGTTCTCATGGGATCTCCTATACCTTACTAAGAAAGGGGAGGAATGCCCCTACATCCCATAATCTGATTTAGAGGACATCGCTAGGCCACTCTCTTGGCAGATCTCAGCAATCATATCAAGATAAATTCAATGCAGGAAGAAACATGTAAGATTGTCCTAGAGGGAACTTTGGCCAACTCACCATGCTCTTGCTCGAGGTCTTTGGTTGGCACCTTCTGTAAGACTTTGAGAACATCTTCCTCCCTGAGGGCTGGAAGGTTTGTAAGGTGATGCAGAGAGTAGAGCACTGAGTGACTGTCTCCACCATGTAAATGAGACAAGAGATCCCTCTTTGGTATGGGGCTGCTGAAAGGAAAAGTTGGCAGAATGGAAGAAGACACAGTTTATATGACTGCCCTGGAGAAAGACTAGTCTCTATTCCCTCTTGTTCTTCCTCTCTTGCCCATAACACCACAGGTTTCGCTTCCCCAAACACTAAGTTTTAGTTGGTCTAGGATAGAGCGTAACATTTCCCTGTCCTCAGGGAAGGACATCTATCAAGGCAGCTCTGCTTGTCTAGGTAGGACCTGCAATGGGCCTTTCTGGTCAGTAGTGTCTAGACAGGGCCTGTAGGTTGAATTTGCCAATTTCCACATCTTTCTAGCTTCAAACTGATACAAACTTCTCTGGCTTTTACTCTGAGTAAAAGCCCCTCACTACTTCCCTGTCTGCCCACTCCACTTCAGGAAGTGCTGGTGAGGTGAATGGGGAACAAGGCAGGAACCCCAATCTAGGCTATCTGGGAAACAGAGGACCTCCACACAGTCCTGTAAGTTTTACTGAATAAAAGTGTGATCCAGAATAACAGATGATTAAAAATGTGGACAACGTATACTAGCTGTGTGACTTTGGGCACGTTGTTTAATACCTCTGGGCTTTAGTTGGCTCACCTTTAAAATGACAGTAATATTAGTATCTACCTCAGGATTTTTGTGAGGCTTCAGTGAAAACATTTATCTAAAGGGCTTAAAGCCATGACTAGAATATAGTCAATGCTCAGGAAATATGGGCTATTGTTGTCTCATTATTTTATTATTTATTTATAGATTTTTGCCATAGGGTACATGTGCTTGCCAGAGAGAGACGGAGAGAGGAAAAGTGAGGAATTACCCTACCAGGAGATGGCCACGACACAACCCCTTCTCCTTCATTCTCCTCTCAGGATTTTTTTTTTCTTGGAGAGGTTTTTGCTATAGGGCGCGTGCGCTCACCAGAAAGACAGAGACACAGAGAGACAGAAAGCAAGAAATCACCACCACCCCCTTCTGGGGGGGATGGCTATGCCGCAATCTCTTCTCCTCCATGCTCCTCTTGGGATCTTAGGCACACACACACACACACACGCCTGGCATGAGTTTAAGCCACTAGGTCCAGGACTCGAACTGCAGTCGACTACATTGGAGTCCAGCGACATAGCCATTATGCCAACTGCTGGTCCCTCCTCTCAGGATTTTGAGAACATACATACACATGCCTGGTGTGATTTTCAAGCTGCTGGGTCCAGAACCTGAACAGTGCTGTCAGCCACGTGGGATCCAGACTCTTAACCACCAGGCCACTAGCTGACCTTATGTTATTATTTTTAAAAATTTTGTCAGAGAGTGTGAGCACTTTCCAGAGAGACAGAGAGAGGTAGAGCAGGAAAAAGCACCCCTTGATGGGGAAAGGTCACGTAGCAAATCTTTCTCCTCTATTTCTCCATCGTTTCAGGATATTGGGCATGCACACACACTTGCCCAGCATGTTTTTCAAGCTGCCATGTCTGGGACTTGACCTAGATAGTTGGACACATGGGATCCAGCTTCCCTAACCACTAGGCCACGGGGCCAGCCCTATTGTTTTTATTATTATCATCCTGAAATTTTCCTCTGGTTATGACCTGAGGGCCAAGGTGAAGATAATCATTACTTATGTTTCTTACCTGGATTAATAGCTGAAACAATTAGTAGTAGCTGGCCATAATTGTCAACTCAAAATATTTATGTGAAAGATGTCTAGAAATGGCCACATATGCAGAGTGGAGTCTTGCATGGCCAGGGGCAGGAGGGGGCTGACTGCACAGGATCATACCTGCTCTGCTGTACACACCACTCCAGGACCTCCAGGTGAGACCACAACGTGTCACAGGCATCTCTGAGAAGCTCATCACAGCCTTGATCCTGTGTTGATAAGGGAGAAGACAGATGCTGACTCAGGCACCTGGGATGAGAGACTGTGACCAGCTTCAGGACCCTGCATTCTGCCTATACTCTACTCCATGGCCCTCATTTCTGGAGCAGTCCGGGGTGTAGAGTGAGAGTTACCTGTGTCCTGTGCAGTGTCTGAAGCAGCCTCTTAGCTGACTCCAGGCTCTGGCAGTGTGTCCAGCCCACGAGCACCAGCAGGCGACTAAGAGGCCTGAATTCTCTATCCAGCAGGCAGCCGAGACTGTGGAAGTCTTCCTCCTTCAGCAGTGTGAGTGCCGTTACCTGTAAACCAGAGAAGGCAGCTAGAGGCAGCTACGGGGACTTGAAAGAATGAGTTCCAGCTGCTGCTCATTAGGAAATGAAGCAGGGAGATTTCTGCCAATGATTTAAGAGGCCAGCTGAGTAAAATACACGGTTAAGAAAACACTAGCTTGAAAACATCTCAAAGGCAGGAACTGACTTCTGTTGAAACCCCAACCCCAGCACGGTAAATAGCACACAGGATGAGATTAATGCTTATGAATTAAGTTGAAGCTCAGTTGCAATCTGGAAGGATAAGGTTAGAGTAACTCCCTTGTCAAGTAGGCAACATTGTTCCCACTGTCTTTCTTTTTCAGATCCTCCAGGACACACAGTTAACATTTTAGTTCCTGCCAAAGGACTAGCATAAAATGACTGTAATTTTGAATGGTGCTGGCTCTCAGAGCCTCCCTTCCCCTGGGAGTGTGGGATGGACAGAACCAGAAGACTTGGCACTAATTAGGCTGTGTTGTGTTGGATACACGAGTAGAAGAAAAATGAGGAATGAGAATGCCTACGGAGAATCCCTGGGTACTTCTGTGATGGAGAATTATTAAGCTTGACTTACCAGGATCTGCTCGAGAAAGTGCTTGCTGTTGCTCAGGCAATAGAAATAGGCCACCTTCCAGGCCTGGGCTGGGTCGGGATTGGAGAACAGGGCTAGCATTGCCCGCTCAGGATCCAGACAATCAGGTGAGGCTGAACATCAAACCAGACAGAGTTATAGGGAAACAGAGTTCTCCTCTCCTCTCATTTGAAAACCATCGGGATCCAGCTTCCAGCAGTTAGTGTAATGGCTATGTCGCTGGACTCCCACATAGTCGACTGTGGTTCGAGTCCTGGACCCAGTGGCTTAAACTCACGCCGGGTGCGTGTGCGTGCGTGCCCAAGATCCTGAGAGGAGAATGGAGGAGAAGGGATTGCGGTGTGGCCATCTCCCCTGGAGGGTGATTTCTCGCTTTCTGTCTCTCTCTGTCTGGTGAGTGCACGTGCCCTACAGTGAAAACCTCAAAAAAAAAAAAAAAAAAAAAAAAAAAAAAACCACCAAAAAAAAAAATCTGAAGTGAGAGCGGGTGCTTTTAAAAACTTGAACCAGGTGTTCTATATCTTGAAGACTCCTGGTAGCTCTATAAAGTTCTTTCTTGCCATTTATTACTTTATTCCTCCCCCACTCCCCACCCATCACCTGTCTTACACTAGAAAATCTGTGTTTTTTGAAAAGAATAGCTTACCCACTTCAGTGTAGCCTTTGCTATTAGATGCCCTGAGACACATGGAAGGCACTAAACTAGAGGAACTTCAGAGGGGCTGGACATGCTGGAATTATCGAGACACAGGGAAAAGCGGCAAAGGGAACGCACATTTTCCAGAGGCAGTGACCCTCGACAGCTTGTCTGTAACCTTCTCTGTGTAGGTGTGGCCATACAGGGACACCAAGCCTCTCCCAGCCTTGTGCAGCAGGCAGCCCAGCAGCTGCTCCTCCCGTAGGGCACTCCGGCAGGCTTCTAGTAGGTCCTCACACAGGAGGCGTAACTCCCCGCCGAGCGGCTCTGCAGGGCAACGCAGAGTCCGCAGGGCTCCGAAGATGGCGTCGACTACCCCAGGGGTCCCAGACTCAGGGCCTTGCAAAGCCTGTAGTGCTTTTCGAATGAGGTCCACCAGTGCCTTCTGCAGAGGCCAGTGGCAGAGGCTGGTGCCATCATCCTCCACAAGCAGGAGCTGTAGCAGGGCCTGTGCTGGCTGGGACGACTGCCTCAGAAGATCCCAGAGCACAGTGACAGCTTCGGAGCTGAGCTGAGGAGTCCAGCTCTCCAGCCTCTGATTTCCATCAAGCACAGGGCCTACTGTGTCTTGTGCTAAGTTCTCATACAGCTCCTAAATAAGAGAATAAAGAAAGGGAATGGATGGTGGGTTTGTTTAGAACATTGTCACTTACATGCCTTCATTTTTCACTTACATTTCCTCTTTTTTCAGTTGATATATATAGTAGTATCAGCATACACTTCTGTAGCATTTACTATGTGGCAGACAGTGTTCTAGGACCTTTACCCAGAAAAATCAAATTATTCCTTCCAGCAGCCTTAAGGAGGGAACACTGTTATCCTCATTTTGCATATGAGGAGCTTGAGGCAGAAAGAAACTCAGTTGCCCCAGGCCTCCATGCTCAAGTTAGTCCCATCCCCTTCAAAATGAGCACTGCTGATCTAAATCAGGAACTGCAAACTCATAGACCAGGCAGGTAAGACAGATGTTCACCTAAAGGCATGTAAATTAAATAATAATAACAAATTGCTATAGGGTGTGTGTGCTCTCAGGAGAAAGAGAGAAACAGAGGGAGGGAAAGTGAGATAGCACCTCTTGGGGGGATGACCACACTACAATCTATTCTCCTCTTGGGATTTTGGACACACACGCACACAAATTTGGTGTTTTTCAAGCTGCCAGGTCTCGGATATGAACTGTGCAGTTGGCCATGTGGAAGCCTGCTGCCAGCTGTCTTAACCACCATGCTACTTTCTAGCCCTAATTTTTTTTTTTTTTTTTTTTTTTTTTTTTTTTTTTTTCAGTTTTGCTATATGGTTTGTGGGCTTGCCAGAGAGAGATTAAAAGGAGATGGGAAGTGAAAAATCACTCCCGGCAGGTGGGGGGAATGGGCATGCCTATATTTTCTTCTCGGGATTTTGGGCATGCATGTACATATGATTTTCAAGCTGCTGGGTCTAGGCCTCAAACCATGAAGTCAGTCACATGTGATCCTCAGTCACATTAACCACCTAGTCACCTGCTAGCCTGCGGTTTTTGCTTTTAAGGGCTTATAGTCTAGTTAGAGAGGAAGGACTACAACACACATTACACAATTATGGACTAAACCATGATATATGATGCTAATTTTATGTACATTGTAGTTGTGTAGGTTGGAGGTATTGAAAAAGGTTGTATGGAACAATAAGAGTGGACTAGATCTTAAAGCATGGCTAGGATTTGAATCAGAGGTTAAATGTGTAATGTTCTCTTAACAGTTTAATTCAGGGGGGCCAGCAGGTGGCATGGTAGTTAAGGCACTGGACACTCAGACATTGTCAACCATAGTTTGAGTTCTGGACCTGGCAGCTTGCTTTCTCACTTTCTCTCTCTCTCTCTCTCTCTCTGTATCTCTTGTCAAATTAAAATAAATTAATGAATAAATAAAAGTAAATAAATTAAAGAAAATTTAATTTTTTTCTTTCCCTCTCCCTTTCTCTGTTTCTTTCCGGCTAGTGCAAATGCCCTATAGCAAAACTGAAAAAAAAAAATAAAAGAAAGAAAGAAAGAAAAAGAAAATAAACAAAACCAACCAAGAATCTCTACAGCTTATCCGGCTATCCTCTGATTACAGGGTAAGGTAGGGGGAGAGAAGTGGGTGAGGAGTAGTTTACTTTCCATACTTTATCATCATGCCTATAGATGTTGCTCAGGGATCCTCTTCATTAACTGCCTCAGAGAAGGACCACAAGACCATGAGTCCTTGACCTAATTCAAGTGAAAGTCTATACCATAAATCCTACTGTAAATTTCTTTAACGGGTGGCTGGGCCATTAAGAAAATATATATTGTGGTGTGGCCATCCACCCTGGGGGTGATTTGTCACTTTCTGTCTCTCTGTCTGTCTGTCGAGTGCATGTGCCCTATAACATAAAGAAACCTCTCCAAAAATTAAATAAATAAATAAATAAAATATGTAATGAGCCTCAGAGCATACCTCAGGCACTAAAGTAGTAACTGATATAGGCATACGGATAACTGATACCAACTACATAGTTTGAATCCACCCCTAGAAGGCTGTGAAGATTAAATATAGTTGGGACCAGCAGGTAGCATGATGGTTAAGGTGCTGGACACTCCCACATGGCTGACTATGGTTCGAGTCTGGACCTGGCGGCTTGCGTGCTCTCTCTCTCTGTGTGTGTGTGTGTCTCTCTAGTCAAATTAAAACAAAATAAATGAATAAATAAAAGTGGCTGGCCACGGTTTGAATCCTGACCTGGCGGCTTGCTTTCTCACTTCCCCCCTCTCTGTCTCTTTCTCTGCTCAAATTTAAAAAATAATAAACTGAATAAATAAATAAATTTAAATAAAATAATTCTTAAATTAAAAAAAAAGATTAGCTATAGCTCAGACCATCTATTATAGAAAAGTTTTCAACAAATACTAGTTCCTTTTCTCCTTCACAGACTCTGTCATCTACTGGTAAAAATTTCAGTTACCTTTGTCTACATGCAAGTTATGTATTCCTTAAGATATAAAATGAAAAAATATCTTTAGTACTTAGCTATACCTAAGTCTTCTGAAGAAACCACTTCAAGAATCTTAAAACTAGGTAAGTTAACCCTGACACTAAACTTTCTTGTGCAGGGTCTCTAGTCTGTCCTGTTTCTCCAGGAACAGAGTATAGCCTGTCTCTGCTGGATACCTAGAAAACAATCCCTGGGAACAGTTGAGTGACTATAACCCTGGGCACGTGGTCCCAGGGCCCTCTTACCCTGAGGATGTCCTCTGGAATGTCACCTTGGAGGTCTTTTGACAACAAAAGAAATTCAAGCTTTCTCCGGAAAACAGTTGGGAGGATCTTCTAAAAGAATCATAAAAAGGAAGCATAGTGATTAGGCATACACTTTAGATAATCAATTATAAGTAAATATTTTTCTCCAGTTAGTTGTTTTTCTGTTATTTCTCTAAAATAAAATACTTTAAATCACTAAATTCCTGGGAACAGCAGATGGCGTAATGGCTACGTTGCTGGACTCCCATGTGGTTGACCACAGTTTGAGTCCTCGACCCAGTGGCTTAAACTCATGCAGGGCGCATGTGCGTGCGTGCCCAAGATCCTGAGAAGAGAATGGAGGAGAAGGAACTGCAGCGTGGCCAGCCCGCCCGGGGGGTGATTTCTTGCTTTCTGTCTTTCTCTGTCTTTCTGGCGAGTGCACGCCCCCTATAGCAAAAGCCTATCAAAAAAAAAAAAAGAAAAGGAAAAAAAGAAAAAAAAAGGAAAGAATTACTAAATTCCTGAATATGTTTTCATACACTTTACAAACAAAAGTAGCTAAATATGGCCTCTTAAAAACTAATTCTTGGGACCAGCAGATGGCGTAATGGTTACGTCACTGGACTCCCATGTAGTCAACCACAGTTTGAGTTCCGGACCTGGTGACTTAAAACTCAAGTCAAGTACATGTGCACGTGTGCCCAAGAACCTGAGAGGAGAACGGGGGATAGTGGCATGGCCATACTCCTCGGGGGTGATTTCTCATTTTCTGTCTCTGCCTCTCTGGTGAGCGCACGTGCCCTATCACAAAACTCTCTGTCTCGAGACCAGCAGTTAGCTAATGGCTATGTCGCTAGACTCCCACATAGTCAACTGCGGTTCGAGTCCCGGACCTGGTGGCTTAAACTTTTGGCGGGCACATGTGCGTGCGTGCCCAAGATCCTGAGAGGAGAAAGGAGGAGAAGGGATTGAGGCGTGGCCATCCCCCCTGGGGGGTGATTTCTCGCTTTCTGTCTCTCTGTCTCTCTCTCAAAAACAAAACAAAAGTGAAAAACAACTAATACTTAAAATTCACACTGATCAGTCTCAAATTCAAAGTTTTAATTTCATGTTTTTCTTATCACTTGAGGTCTTTCCCCAAAAATTTCCTTTGCTATATCTAAAATACCCAGTTGTGGGTAAATCTTAGCGGGTTTGGCCCATTTGATCCAATTCCTGTTTTGGGCATTCACTATCCTTGCATATAAGTTGGGAAAGGAAAGTAAGAAGAGAGGGATCTAATGTTTACTAAACACTGATTATGTGAGAAGTACTGTGTATCATATTTTATTTTATGGAAACTTAATTTATAAGTCAAACAAACCTGGAAACATAGTTATATATTTTTAAAGATAATCTTTACTAGAGATGACATGGTTAAGAAGCAGTTTTCAATTACTGGAGACCTGAAAGGAAACATGTTTCCAATATTTGTTAATAAGAGGTGCCATCAGGGCCAGCAGATGGCATTGTGGTTACGTAGCTGGACTCCCACATGGCCAATAGCGATTTGAGTCCCAGAAGTGGTGACTTCAAACTCACCCCAAGCATGTATGTGTGAGTGCCTAAGATCCTGGGTGGAGAATGGAGAAGGGACTGCAGTGTGGCCATACCCCGAGGGGGTGACTTCTCACTTTCCTTCTCACTGTCCCCACCCTCCCAGCACACATGCCCTAAGGCACAAAACCCCTCTTAATAAAAGAAAAAAAGAAGTGCCATCAGTGGGGTCTAATATAGAAACAGAGAATGCCTCTGACTCTTGCATCTGCTGATTCACAGTAACTTCCCTTTACCTGGCCCTTAAAACTCAGTCTCTTTCTCCAGACACAATAAAAAGACGATTAGAGTCTGGGACTAAGGTTAACAAATACTTCTTTAAATTACAGACAGGTGTGAAGTAAGACTTTGGTTCAAACTTCTGAAAGACGAGTTACATTGGAACGCAGGAAATACTTGCAGGTGTGTGTGTGTAGTTTAGAACACAAGATCACACTTCCTCCAGTCACTTGCTATTCATTACACCAGAGGCTAATAATGGACTTATTCTTGGTCCAAGTCTTATTTCTTGTTACCACACCCAATGTGGTAATATGTGCACTAATTCCATGTGAATGCATCTGCGATGCCTATGATTGAGAGCTGGTGGAGAAAATTCATGCTGAGAAGCTGAAGGTTGGTGAGCCAACCGAGGACTAAGAAGAACAGATAAAATGTCTATGACAGCAGGCTTTTAATAGTCTGGCTAAAGGGGCTGGCAAGTGGTATGGTGGTTAAAGGTGTTGTATTCCCCCATGGCTGATTGTAGTTTGAGTCCTAGACCTGGTGGCTTGCTTTCTCCCTTTATCTCTCCCTGTCTAGCTCTGGTCAAATTAAAAATAATAAGAATAACAAGTAGAATTAAATAAATAATTCTTTAAAAAAATATAGTCTGGCTGAGATTTTAGGACTTCATCTAGAGGGTTGGGCAGTTGTGCAGCAGTGAAATGCAACTCTGAGGCTGACACATATAGGAAGATTCTGAGTTTGTGTCTGGAGACTTCCCTGAGTATGCTGGGCACATGTATACCCATGAGCAAGGATGGCTGAGACCAGGGTAGATTGCAGGATGAAGATTCTGTTGGGGGGGTTCCTCTTCTCTTTAGCAGCGTGAGGTGATCTTTGAAAATGGTTTGCTATTCTCTTGACCCAGAGAACCCCACAAAGTCATGCAAGTCAACAGGTTCAAATCTTCGTGTTCACTTTAAGAACACTCGTGAAACTGCCCAGGCCATCAAGGGTATGCATATCTGAAAAGCCACCAAGTATCTGAAGGATGTCACTTTACAGAAGCAGTGTGTGCCATCCGTCGTTACAATGGTGGAGTTGGTAGATGTGCTCAGGCTAAACAGTGGGGCTGGACACAAGGTCGGTGGCCCAAAAAGAGTGCTGAATTTTTGCTGCACATGCTTAAAAATGCAGAGAGTAATGCGGAACTTAAGGGGTTGGATGTAGTCTCTGGTCATTGAGCACATTCAGGTGAACAAGGCACCCAAGATGCGCCGTCGTACTTACAGAGCTCATGGACGGATTAACCCATACATGAGCTCCCCCTGCCACATCGAGATGATCCTCACTGAAAAGGAGCGAATTGTTCCTAAACTGGAAGAGGAAGTCACACAGAAGAAAAAGATATCCCAGAAGAAACTGAAGAAACAAAAACTTATGGCACAGGAATAAAGTCAGCATAAAATAAATGTAGATAAAAGTTAAAAAAAAAAAAAGATTCTTTTGGGGGTAATGTCTCTCTGATGAAAGGAAAACAAACAGAAAAAGACTTACCTAGAATCCTAAAGACAGATTAACTTACATTTATTTTAGTGATAAAACTACTTTAAACATATTTAGGGTCTAAATGACTTACTTGCCCAAAACAGGCAAGAACTTGCTGAGGGCCAGCAGGTGGGATGGTGGTTAGGGGCACTGCACTCCCACATGGCTGACCATGATTTGAGTCCTGGATCTGGCTGCTTGCTTTCTCACTTTCTCTCTCTCTCTCTCTTGCTCTGTCCCTCTCTGGTATGTATGTATGTAAGTATGTATAAATAAATAAGTAAATAAAGTTAAATAAAATAATTCTTTAAAAAAAGAACTTGTTCAATGTGTCTAAGCACAGATTTTCATACTATTTGTGGAGAGCAGCCAATTTGAAAACATGTGATTAAAACATGTGGCCCGTAGACACATGTAGATAGGTGCTTTTGTAAACTACTTTAGCAGGGCTATTGAAAAGCATCTACATACAAAAGCAGTATCTGCCTGTTGTCAATGGTTGTCTTCCTGTTGTTGATACCCAATACCCTGACTTAGACTTATCATTGGGCTAAAGGCAGTCACATGCAGGCTAAAGGAAGTCACATGAGTTTATCAGATTGTCCCCTCAAAAAGATCAGAGAAATTACAAGGTGCCAGCCATTTTCACATCTACAGATGATTTACATCCAAAAACAACTAGCTTTGCATTCTAATTTCTCCTCTCTTACTCTCTTTGCATTCCACTTCCTTCTTCCCCATTCCTTTTGCATCCCATTTTCCCCTTCCCCCATTTTCTGCCCTTTAAAAGAATAAACCTGAGGCTAGTTCTGGTAGCGACTTCTCTATCAGAGAATCTGTGCCCACCTGATCCTTGCTTTTCTATACTTGTGTGTCTTTGTGTGTTTGTTATTGCGTCTATTTCTAATCCACAGCCTTCCCCACTCAGAAAAACGTGTTCATG